TCATTATACTTTTGAAAAGATAATATACTGTAAAATGCAGAAAAACCTCAGACGAGGGGAAGAAAAACTATTTTTTTTATGTTCCATCCTCAGAATCTCTGAAACAAATGCATATGATGTGATATTTACACTCCTGATGAAATCTACCAAGTGTTAGCTTTGTTTTTATATCAGGGGTATTTATATGGTGTTTTTAGGTGCAGAGATACACCCAGTTACATTTGGGCATGCTTTTTCAAGCACAAACTTCAAGAAAACCCCTTGGGGCTTAAGAGGTTAACTTTTAGCCACTGTTTTACTGGACATAATGTAAAACTAAACACACTTCCTAAATGTTGTGTAAAAGCTGTAAAGTAGTGCTGCCGCAATACAAACATTAATGTTATCTAGTTCTATATATGTATTGCTTTATTAGCAGGAAAAGCCTTTTCGATTGTTCTGTTTGACGTGACTCTGAAAGTTTCCAGTTCACAGTTGTTAATCTGGTCACAGCTGGAGGTTTACAAGATATTGTACAGATGTTGCTCTGCTTTCACAAGCTTTCTGACTCATGTTTCTACATTTTTAATCCAATCCTTCTCTCAGATGACTCAGTGTTTCTGCTTTGTTAGGAAGCCCTCCCTTCTCTTTAAATAACAGATGAACMGCAGAAAAGAAGTTAAATTTGAGGCAGTTTTGAGCTCAAACTTAGARCTGAAGTTGTGACTAAACTGTCTGCTCCTGTAATCATGGCCGTATGGWGCTGCTGCTGTGTGTTGTTGGTTTGCTCCACATGACCAAACATCCACAACCTGAGACGGTCTGTCTCATGACCTTTGACCTGTGAACTCTGCACCAAGCTGTCAGCTCACCTGAAAGCAGGTTCAGAGTTTCTGATGAAGACGTTGTTTCCTGAGGGTTGATCAGTGCTCACCAGGAAACAAATGTTGAATATTAAACAGTTAAGGACCGTACAYCAGGCTGTTAAAACACAAACTCAGTCTTTACTGTTGATTGGATTCATTGTTGTGTAATCTGAACAGCTTGAATTTAAAAGTCAAGTACTGGTGTTTTTATTCTTGTTTTTTATATAAAATACAGCCAAAACAATAATTATTCTGTTTCTGCTAAAGTCAAATAGGTTTATTTTCTGTTCTGCTTGTTTTTATGGTTTGTATCTAAGCTCTGAGTAAATCTGAAATCTGCTCAATGTGGTGAAATTAACTGATTGAAAACATCTAAGTTGAAATGTTTGATTCACCTTCTAACTGAACCCAGACCAGGGCGATTCAAATGAATGGCTCAGGGGCCGGACGTCACCCTGGGCTGGTGAGGTGCATGCAGTGCCCATTAATGCTGCAACACTGCAGCATGTAAGAACTAGTTTTCTACCATTTAAATCTCTTTATTTTGTTGCATTGAAACATCAATTTTAAATTTACAAATGATTTGAAATCTATTTTATATTAAGTAAAAAGAAAACTGGCTGCCAGTTGAATATCCCTGTATTAAACGGTCACTTGACCCAATCCCTCTAAAAGAAAACAGGAAGTGTTTACATTATCATTGATTGCAGAAATTTAGCCTCTATATCAGGGGATCTTAACCTTTTTGACCTCGGAGCCTAATTTATTGAACATAAAGTGACACGAGGTCCAGTCAGACATTACCAATGTATGGATC